CCGCCGCTCCCTCTCACCCTCCTCCCACAGAAGCTCCCGCACACTCACACGCCTCTGCTCAGGAGTCCAGGGAAGAGCAGGAGCCGCCCCCGCGCTCCTGCAGAGTCGGGCAATGCAGAGGCCCAGGCACGGCAGAGGGGAGGGGGAAGCGTGCGTCACGAAGAACGGAGTGCGCGCGAAGCGGGGGCACAAACAAGATGGCGGCCACGCCGTTTGCACCGTCTCACCTTTTCCCCTCCCCCTCCCCCTCCCCCGGCGCCTCGACTCTCAGTATCGTTCAATGCGCAGAAGCTGAATTTCCTGAAGTCTCGCGAGAATTGGTAGGGGGCGACGACAGGGTGAGGTGAAATGAGATCTGAGGCTTTGGCCCCGCCCCTTTCCCGGGCATCCGTAGGCGTTCCTTGCTGACCTCCATGGGGACTCCTATCCTTACGGGTCTGTTGTGCGCATCTGAATTTTAGGCAGTATTTTGTTGGTGTGTGTGTATCTTTTTTTAATCTGGGGGGACAGGGCTGAGAGACAAAGGAAGACACGTGCATTCCAGATTAGGCAGACCGATAAAGTAGGTAACTGCTAACAAATTCAATAAGTGAAGGCATTTCACACCCAACTGTAAAACTGATTTTCCTGCCTCAGCCTACCAAAGTGCTGGATTTATATACTCCGAATTAAAAATACTTCCCAAGAATAATTAGCTTGTAACCTTGAGTTAGAAATAGCTTTTCTCATTTAAATGCAGAGTTTATTTATTTATTCTATTTTTTAATTTTTTGAGTTGGAGTCTCACTCCGTTGCCCAGACTGGAGTGCCGTGGCCGCTCCCGGCCACCGCAGCCTCGCCCCACTGGGCTCCGGCGATCCTTCCGCCTCAGCCTTCCGAGTAGCCGGAATTACAGGCGCGCGCTACCACGCCCGGCTAATTTTTTTGATTTATTGTAGAGATGAGGTCTCGCCTGCCCAGGCGGGTCTCGAACCCGCGGGCTCAGGCAATCCACTCACCTCAGCCTCCCAAAGGCGCGGGATTACAGGCTGAGCCACGGAGCCCGGCTAAATGCAGAGTTTAAAGTTTAATCAAAGGCAATTGGAAATCAAACTACGATGAGGTCTATTTTTTCATACTTATCTCTGTCATCTCCATGACCACTTTTGTATTTCCGTTTTGCAGATCATAAAACTAAGCTCAAACGAGTTAAGTAACTTGATCTGAGACCTCCATAGCTAGTAAGTGTCACAATACGCTTTGAATAACTTTAAAATGTATAGATAAATTCATCAATACCGGGGGTGCCAAAAAATGTATACACATTTTAATAGATGTTATCTATGTATTATTACTTTTAGTTTGCCATAATCAGAAGTGTCTGGACACTGATGGGCACTATGGGCATTTCTTGTTCTTGAAGAAGTCAAATACAACTTGTCGTCTTTTAATTTTAATACAGTTTTTTCCTTTTTAAAAATGTGTGTACATTTTTTTGGCACCTTCTCTGTTGAGTGGAATTACCTAGAATGAGACAGTGCATTGGGTAACAAGCACAGAGAGGTGTGGGACTGTATCTGCTGATGGTAACCTTGAACTTCACAAATAACCTAGAACTTCACAAATGACCTTGGAACCTTTCTGAGACTTGTGGCACATGGGTCCTCCACAATGAGGAACATACTATTACTACTCAACTTCCTTTGGGTTTATAACCCTGGTGATAAAGTAATTGAGAATAGTGGACTAAGCCCTTGACTTGAAAACAGGAAAATTGTTTTTAAATTCAATTTCAATACATCTTACTTCAAGCACTCAGTAAATATTTGATAAATGAATAAACAAAACCTGACTATAAGATACCTGACTTCACCAAGTCTCAATTTCTTCATCTGTAAAATGATCTAATTCCTACCTTCTGGGAGTACTAGGGGGACTGAATGAAATATTGTGAGAGTGCTTCATAGGTTGCAAAAGTGTTATAAAGAAGTTAGTGATAATAGTGACATTTTCAGACATGAGAAATGGCATACAAATAAAAACAGGGAAACTCAATAAGAGCATAGTATGTTGAGATTGTAGAGAGATAAACTTAGCGAATGGGAAAAAGCTAGGTAAGTCTACAAGTATTTATTGAGCAATTGTTGTGTATGCTTGCCAAAGAAATGTAAAAATATGTAGAGAGAAACACAAATTAGTATTATAAGTGATTATTGTTACAATTAAGTTTTGACAGCACATAGAGGCTGCAGTCTCTTTTCTCTAAGAGCCTGGAAATCAGGTTGCCCTCAAATAAACTAATAAAAATCTACATAAACCGGGCTTGGTGGCTCAGCCTGTAATTCCAGCGCTTTGGGAGGCTGAGGTGAGTGGATTGCCTGAGCCCGCGGGTTCGAGACCCGCCTGGGCAATTTGGTGAGCCCTCATCTCAGTCAATAAAAAAATTAGCTGGGCATGGTAGTGCGTGCCTGTAGTTGCAGCTACTTGGAAGGTTGAGGCGGAAGGATCACCAGAGCCCAGCAGGTGGAGCCTGCAGTGGCTGGGAGCGTGCCACTGCACTCCAGTCTGGGTGACAGAGTGAGACTCCCAACTCAAAAAAAAAAAAAATTACATATTAGAGGAAATTTGCCAAGAATGGTATTAAATATATTTAACAGCAAGTCAAGCACTGATCTAACAGATCAGAAGTCCACCTAGTGTCCTGGAGGTAATCCTTTGTGCTAGGTTTAACACCTAGGTTTAACACCTTCAGTTGCTGGTTTGTGAATAGTAGGTCCTAGGGTATCCCAAGGGAGGGGGAGTTGTCAGGAGGCTTGAAACAGCTGCTGTTTACCAGATAGTACTAAAGTATTTTAGTAGTCAGTATTATAACTGGTAACAGTCATACTAGTACATACAAGCTGAACATCAATCTGCTGTAGACTGTATTATCAATATTCTCTGCCCCTTCCCTTCTGAAGTCCTCCCTGTCTGGCCTATCCCTGGGAGATTCAAGTGTGAGACTTCTTAACCTATTGTCATCAAATTTGGCCTTCTTTTGATCAATGAAATGTGAGTAGAAGCTACTTCTGAGGACAAATTTATCAGCTTTCTTATGATTCTGCCATATTATTTTTCCTCTAACATGAGAGCAGCATGTCCCAAATAGAGCTGCTTCTCTAGCTTTGGTCCCAGAATGCAAATATGCAGAGCCACAACTGACACACATAACATGTAATGTCATGTGCACAAGAAATAAACTTTTGTTGTAAGCCACTGAGATTGTTTTGGTTGGTTGTGGCTGCATCATAACCTAGCTAGCCTGGGCCAGCTGATACAACCATGAAATTAGCTATCCATGGGAGCTAAGATTTTGTCAACAAACATGATCAAAAAACAAAGGAAAGCCAGCTTGGTGGCTCAGCCTGTAATCCCGCCCCTTGGGAGGCTGAGGTGAGTGGATTGCCTGAGCCCTTAGGTTCGAGACCCGCCTGGGCAACTTGGTGAGACCTCCTCTCTACAATAAATCAAAATATTAGCCGGGCGTAGTAGCGCATACCTGTAGTTCCAGCTACTTGGAAGGCTGAGGCGGACAGAGCCCAGCAGGTTGAGGCTGCGGTGGCTGGGAGCGGCCACTGCACTCCAGTCTGGGCGATAGAGTGAGACTCCAACTCAAAAAATAAAAATAAAATCAGGGGATGATGGTAAATTTCTTAAGGTTGTAGTGTAGAGGGACTTGTCTAGAACAGCCAACTGCACTTAAGCCACACTGCTCTATCTCATTGTGTGCCATCTTTGACCTTATAGAAAGGCAGTTTGCTGTTGGAGTTCAAAAAAAGGAGCAATTACTTGCTCTTAGTGTGAAATAGTGGAAGGAGTTCTGGAAAAAATTACAAGGATGTGACATTTGAACTGGGCCCTGCAAAATGAGTAGAATGGGAAAGAGCGTGCCACGTGTAGGCAGACACCAGAGCAAACAGAAGCAGCAGGGAATCAATGGAGGAAACATTATAGAGTAAGAGGGAAAGGGAGAGAAATCAGATGGAAAGATACATTATTTTCTGTTTAGGGAGCTAGCATGGAAATTTTTTGTTTTGCTTTTAAATACTTTTTTCTTTTTTTCTTTTTTTTTTTTTTTTTGAGTTGGAGTCTCACTCTGTCGCCCAGACTGGAGTGCAATGGCCGCTCACAGCCACCGCAGCCTCGACCCGCTGGGCTTCGGCGATCCTTCCGCCTCAGCCTTACAAGTAGCTAGAACTGCAGGCGCGCGCTACCACGCCCAGCTAGTTTTTGATTTATTGTAGAGATGAGATCTTGCCAAGTTGCCCAGGCTGGTTTCAAACCCGTGGGCTCAGGCAATTCACTCACCTCAGCCTCCCAAAGCGCGGGATTACAGGCTGAGCCACCGAGCCCGGCTGCTTTTACATAGTTTTAATCTTTATTATTTTTTTATTTTTTATTTTTTTAGTTGGATTCTCACTCTGTCGCCCAGACTGGAGTGCAATCGCACGCTCCCGGCCACCGCAGCCTCGACCTGCTGGGCTCCGGCGATCCTTCCGCCTCAGCCTTCCAAGTAGCTGGAACTACAGGCGCATGCTACCACGCCTGGCTAATTTTTGATTTATTGTAGAGATGAGATCTTGCCAAGTTGCCCAGGTGGGTCTCGAACCTGCGAGCTCAGGCAATCCAATCACCTCAGCCTCCCAAAGCACTGGGATTACAGGCTGAGCCACCGAGCCTGGCTAGTTTTAATCTTTTTAAAGTGTTTAGTTCAGTGACATTAAGTGTATCCAACATGTGCAACCATCACCATTATCTATCACCAGAAATTATCATTCTCCCATGCTGAAACTCTGTATACATTAAACAATAACTCTCCTTCCCCACCTCCCCAGTCTCTGGTAAACATTCTACTTTCTGTCCCATTGAATTTGACTATTCCATGTACCTGCCATAAGTGGAATCATATAATATGTATCCTTTTGTGTCTGGCTTATTTCATTTAGCATAATGTCCTCAAGGCTCATCCATGTTGTAGAATATACCAAAATTACTTTTCTTTTATGAATGAGTAGTATCCTATTGTATGTATATAGTGTGTTTTGTCTATCCATTTATTCATCAATGAACAGTTGAGTTGTTTTCACCTTTTGACTATTATGAATAATGCTTCTATGGACATTGGTGTACAAGTATCTGTTGGGGTCTCTACTTTCAATTATTTTGCCCATATACCCAGAAGTGAAATTACTGGATAATATGGTAATTCTATGTTAAAAAAAATTTTTTTGAGGAACCACCATATTGCTTTCCATAGCAGTTGTACATTTTACATTCCCAATGGCAGAATTGTTTACAAAGGGGAGTGACATGGTCAAAACTGTTGAAAGGCAATATGG